TTACACACACTTACACACATTATTATATCATTGTAAGCCTCACCGTTCGCCTCAATTTGGCGCAGGGAACTGTGAAAGGGACTATTCTATTATACTTCAGGTAGCCCAAGGGATAACAGACTAAATACTTCAACGAACAAGGGGTAAATATTCTTGGGATTTTAGGAGTAAAGGATAAATCACCCCACTCTTCTAACAATGCCTCAGCGAAGAGGGAAAATAGGTTAAACGCAATGATGTTTATGATACCTACCAACAACATGTCTGAACTCATTAACATACTGCCAGTCTTCAATGAAGAAGTATTGGAGACCTCCATTCTACACAGAAACAAAAAAAACAATCAATAAACAGACAAAAGCTGTCGGTGATATAACGCATAAAATAACATAAATAGTAATAGTGCAGTTTACTAAACCAAAAAACCCACTGCTTTAAGGCGCGACTACACGGAGCAATTTCCTATGCAGCTTGTGTTGCAACGGCGTTGCGAAACAAGTTGCATGGAGCATTGCAACGTGTAACCTACAGCGCAATTTGAAAAATGTTGCGAGACAAGTTGCAGCAATCGTTGCGAAAAGTATAATTCGTTTCTACTTTTGGCAACCATTGCGTCTCCATTGCACCGTGTCGAGACACTCTTGCAACTTGGTCGCAACGCTGTTGCGAGAAAAGTTGCAGAGAAATTGTTCCGTGTAATCGCGTCTTTAATCTTAAGCAATAATTTTGAGTCAACTCCGTCATCACTTCCTTTGGCATTGTCTTTTTTCTTCGAGTTATCTGTTTACTGCTTCAGTATATATATTGTTGTTATTGTCGTTGTTTTGTTTTTGTAATGCAGTTGTTACTGTTTGAGGTATTGCAAAAGTTGGCATTTGTATACATTTATTTGATCTTTTTGCTGGTTGTTGTGTTCATTATTGTTACAGGTGCTGCAGCTGCAATTTATCTCGCCCGTCAGTTCGTGGTTTGTCAAGGGTTGTTTTTCTATGCTTAGGTCTTAGCTGGATTTGCACACCTATCTGTTGTGGTCGTTATTGGACAAGTTGGGACGCGACTAGGACCCTAGTGAAAACCACTTTGTGATCTAGGCTTCCTCTTAAACATTAAATTTATTATTTATTATTATTACTCGAAAAAAAGGTAAAACTCTCCTATCGACATGCATTTTAGCGACCAAGCGGTTGATGGTTACTTAATATTCTCTTTTGTGGCAAGTCATTTTCGGCTACGCCATGTCTCATTTTATTACAGTCAATTCAAAAAACGTTGTCGTCGACCGGCTCAAGCCTACGCGACTGGACCGAAAGGATGGGTAAAAATCACTGAAGCGGTTAAATATTCGTTCTGAATTCATTGTTCCCGCTAATAATAAGATAATAATGTCGAGAAACAATCCATCAAATGCATGTCTTTGGGTTTAGGGAAAGAAAAACAAAGTAGTTACGATTCAGTTCACAATTTCGAAAATATGAAGGCATTAAAAAAACGCCTCCTTCAACACTTCCCGCTCGCCTACGAAGGTTCGTGCTGTAAACAGGCATAAGTAGTCAGATAAATTAATGGAGTCAACTCGGCTTCAATGATTGCTACCCAGAGTTCCTTTCGGTCCAGCCGCGTAGGCTCGAGTTGGTCGACGACAACATTTTTTGAAACGCCACTCGTATTTTTCATACGAACTACATCCGGGACCTTAGTGACATATTTTCCATATCCTCACTTGTAAAGATATCGATGACGTCTTTTCCAATGTTTTTAACAAGTTTTTGTTTGTGGATGTGTCTATATAATAAAAAGAACATTACACGTTGGCTTGAAGATATGAAGTTTATCTTCTAACTTCATATCTTCGCGCCACCGTGTAATATCCTCTATGTATACTCATGTGTAATAAAAAGGTACTGAGAATGGAAATATAATATAGAAACAAAGAACCTGTCAATTGACATACTGGCCTCGTATTTCTAAGTTGGTTTATAATTAAGAATTGCAAACGTCCAGGTCATTTCTCCTCAACTTCATATTCAGTATGTTAGTACATTTTTCGTTACCTTCTTTTTGATAAATTTTAAATTAATACCAAAGCAGTTTGATTATGTAATATAAGACTCGCAGATATGATCTATACATCAAGCACAAGTGATATATGTCAAGAAAAATGTAATTAAGTTTATAGACTTATTATTAATTTGATTGATTCCATGTTATTATATTTACTTATGGATTCAATAAAAACATACGATAACAATAATTGCTCATATCAACTTCCCAAGCGGAGGTCTTAAGCTTTTTTGGATAAAATATTTTGGACGAGAAGGGCTTTGTTTGTAGATCTAAAGACTTTTTCTTCTTTTCAGAGGCAATGGCTATTAACACTTTTTCTCTACTCAGAAACACAAGCGATGAAAATCGAAAAATACACACATACGCATGGTTTGGGGCTTTCTTTCCTCTGAGCTTGGCTATTATAGTTGGCAACTCCATCGCTCTCGCAGTGTTTCTGAGAAAGACATTTCGGGTGAAGAAATCCAACTATCTTCTAGTGAACCTGACTCTTGCTGACTTACTCGTGGGAGTCTCGTATGCAATCTTATCACTCATGAGTGTGCTGGCTTCGTACGACATTTTTTCAACCGATATCAATAGACATGGCAATCTTGCAATTGAAACAACATTTCTTCTATTATCCGTAAATGCCTCTATCTACACACTGGCCGTCATTTCAGTGGAAAGAGTGCTTGCAGTGTTCTGGCCATTTCACCATCGACTCGCTAAAAGATGGCATTACTTCACTGCAATTGGACTGGTTTGGATGTTTTCCCTTTTGCCACTTTTAAAATATACCTTCATACATGCGAGAATGTGGCACTATCTTCTTTATTTTGCTTTCCTTTTTTTCCTACTCCTAACAATATTCATCTCGTATCTTTCTATTTGGATCAAAATTAAGTTCTTCACAAAGTTTCGCCACTGCAGAACAATCCAGGAGAACAGTAAACTGACCAAAACGCTGTTTATAGTGACTGTAGTGTCACTGGGAACTTGGTTGCCGAGAATAATTTGGGATACCGTTGGGATATTGTCACACAGGTTTCCTAGGACAAATGTAGAAACTATTTTCTTTTATATTCTGTCAACATTACTTCTGAGCAATTCCTTTTGGAATGTAATCGTGTATTCAGTCAGAATGCCTGAATTTCGAAGAGAACTAAAACTTGTATGCTGTAATTTTCTGTAAAACTATTGTCATAGACATCGAATCAGCTTTAAAATGTAAAGCAAGGGTTAGGTAACTTTGAGATATTGGTATCAAATTGCATGTTTCTTCTTTGTTTGTTTACTTTTTACATAACGAAAACGAACTTTTTTTAAAACCTATTTACTTATTCGATTTTTGATTTCTTGTAAATAATGTTTTATATCGTGTATACAGTATCTCATTGCATGTTAATCTGCAATTTCTTTGTTAACAATTTTAATAACACCTTATAGTTATATAATACTAGTTTATGTGTTTGTAAAACCTTCTATATTATTGGTTCTGTATATATTGTTGTTCAATATGGGTTTATCTAAAAATATAATAAATAATAATAAATAAATAAAAATTTGCAGGGGAAAGAAGTGCGGTATATCTTCCATAAGGATCGCGATACATATTCTAATTTATCATGGGACATTGGTGTTTCCGTCAATGGGAAATACGCCACTCATATTTTTCATGCGAACTACACCCGGGACCTCAGTGACATATTTTCCATATCCTCATGCACTAGTGAAGCTATCAATTAAGGGTTTTCCACAAGTTTTTGTTAGTTAATGTGTCTACATAATAAAAAGAAAATTACAAGTTGGCTTGAAGATATGAAGTTTATCTTCCAGTGTTCAAAAACATTTCACCACTCAAAGATAGACTTCATATCTACGCGCCACCGTGTAATATCCTCCATACATCCTAGTTTTATCATGTATCGATATTTTAATCTCTGATTCTTTAATGTCACTGACAGGAATTCTGATTGCTGGTTAAGGCATCCAACAGTGACGTCACAACCCATATGCCTCGTAACGGCCCTGTTATCAGGGCTTAATTTGAAGGGAGAGGAATATAGAGCGCTAGAATCCTCTCTCTCCATTCGCAGTTTAACTGTTATTTGCTTTATTTGATGAAAGTAATATAGTTCTGTAATAATGGGGAAACGATGTTAGTCCCAGAAGTTGATTAAATTGAGATATGAGCTATACCTCAAGAACAAGTGATCTGCCAACCAAATGTAATCTTATAGACTTATTATTAATTCGACTGATTCAATGTTATTATATTTACTTATGGATTCAATAAAAACATACGATAACAATAATTGCTCATTAACTTTCTGAAATCTTGGTTCCTCGGATGAACAATTTTGACGATAACTAAAATCTTTGGTCGTTGATCAGAACAGTGTTTATTCCTTTCAAAGGCAATGGCTATAAACACTTCTCTACTCAGAAACACAAGCGATGAAAATCGAAAAATACACACATACGCATGGCTTGGGGTTATCTTTCTTCTGTGCTTGGCTATTATAGTTGGCAACTCCATCGCTCTCGCAGTGTTTCTGAGAAAGAAATTTCGTATGAAGAAATCCAACTATCTTCTAGTTAACCTGACTCTTGCTGACTTACTCGTGGGAATTTCATCTGCAAGTTTTTTAATCATGAGCGTACTAGCTCCGTATGACAATTTTCCCGACTCCAATGCAATTAAGATAACTATTCTTCCATACAATATTCTTCTATCATCTGTAAGCGCCTCAGTCTACACACTTTGCCTTATTTCAGTGGAAAGAGTGCTTTCAGTGTTCTGGCCATTTCACCACCGACTCGCTAAAAGATGGCATTATTTCACTACTATTGGACTGGTTTGGATTCTTTCCCCTTTTCGAATTTTAAAATATATCTTTCCGCATATGAGATTGTGGCGCAGGTTTCTGCATATTTCTCTCATATGTACTGTACTACTAATAATATTCACCTCGTATCTTTCTATTTGGATCAAAATGAAGTTCTTCACAAAGTTTCGTCACTGCAGAACAATCCAGGAGAACAGTAAACTGACCAAAACGCT